CGAGATACAGCCCACAAAACCTCTGAGTTTTGATCTCGCTATGCACATCTCACCTTGCACCTCACAGGGATGAGAGGGGTTTTTTTTCTATTTCTAAAGTAGTATTTTAAAATTGAATCTGAGCATTTGATATAACCCAAATCTGCTCCTTTTAAATGACCTTTAATGACGCTGAACTCAAGACAAGCTCAGTATCACACAGCACCAAGCCATAAGAGTGTATTCCCATGAGCTTTTTGTATCAGTGCAGGTTTTAATATGAAAAATTTGAGTCATGAGGAGAAGACAGTTCAATTGGTTTGGTTTCAGATTTAGGATTTTCTACTCTTTACACAAGAGGACATTTAAAATAAATGAATAAATATGGATTTCACAGTGCAGTTGACACGAAAAACTACGTTTTGCATCAACATCAGTAAAATAAGAGATTACCTTGTAAACGAACTCCGGACAGCTACTTTTTTTTTTTTTTTTTTTTTTTTTTTTTTTTTTTTTTTTTTAATTTTAAATAGATGTCTGCTAGTTCAGACAACAGGAACATAAAATCACACCAGAGAATTCCCCAATGACCTGCTGAGCAGTGCACCTCCAGGAGTAAGTACCACATGGATTCATATAATGTCTAGTTGTGAAAATCTCATTGCAGCTATATAGATTTAACTTTTAAGAGTTGTTCCTACTAAAGCCATGACAAGGTATGCCATGCCCTCTTGAACTGTGACAGTAAATATAACTGCCTACATATAAAATGCACAAATTTGGCATATATAACCATACACCAATAAAACAGATTTGCTCAGCAGAGTTGAGGTTATATTTTCTTGCTAACTTTTTATTAACTTGGTAGCTCAGTCCTATTCTGATAACACAAAGTTAAAAAATTATAGGAAAGGAATTCCATAACTGCCCTTTGAAATACCGTAGTGTCTCTTCCTAACTTGTTTATACTTATTAAAAAATTTAAAGGAAATAATATTTAAAGCTTTCAAAAATGTGGTAATTTTATACCTGCCAGAGCTCAGAGCTAGACTCAAGTAATATTAGTCCCTTAGTGGTGGCTTCATACAGGGCTGATCCATGCAAAACTGTCATTGCCATGAGACCCTGTCTCTTTGGGATCTGCAGGTCCCTGTACTTCCCTCTGTCTCTCTGCCACCCTCTGTACTGGAAGTAATTTAGCTGTGTCAGCAGAGTAAATATGTCTGTAATGGGTATAATGTAGACTGGTTTGATTATCACTGCATCACACTGCAATACACACAGCTTTGCATGACAACAGACCCCAACTGAGCATCAGCACAGAAGAAAGGAAAACTTGGAACATATTTAATTCTTAACAGGCAGAACTATGAGTCCTGAAGCAAACTTCACTTTTGCTCTGCCTTTATTTTCCCTCCAGAGTCCCTGGAATAAATCACTGATAACTGTTTAGTCAGTGTCCAGTGTACTTTTAACGTTCTAAGAAACTAACCATACATTTAAATTGTAGAAATCATAGGATAATCCAGGAAGAAACCTCTGGAGATCATTCCTTCCAGACTTCGCTTGGAAGCAGGGCCATAGATGAGGTCATCCAGGGCTCTGTCAAGGCAAGTCCTGAGCACCTCCAGCAAGGGAGATTCCACCACTGTGGACAAAATTCTCCAATGTTTAATTGTTCTTGTAGCAAAGAATTTTATTCTTATTGCCAGACAGAAACTCCCCTAAAGGAACTTGTGCCCATTGCCTCTTGTCCTGTCACCATGCATCATTGTGAATACAGTGACTACCCTTTACATATTAAAAGACAGTGATCAAATATACACTGCGTTCTAAATCAAAAGGGTTTGCCCCAAATTTAAAAGAAATAAAACAAAAGGAACATCAACCAGAGGGGCACATGTTTTTTTCACTCTCCTGCCCCTACAGTATATCCATACCTGAAAATCAAGACACACAGAGCTCAGATTATAGCTGAGTCAGCGTGATCTGGTTTCAGAACCCTCTAATGAGACTGGAACCAAGTAAGTCTGCAAGAACATTGCTATTAAAGCAGTTATTCACTTAATCTGAGTGCATGAATCTGTATGGATATTTCTTTTTTCTTCTTTTTTCTAATACTACCTATTTAAGGGAAACCTGACACTATTAGCACTGCCTTCTTCATAAATCTTAATGATAAACATTTCCTCTGATCTCATGGGGAAATGGTCAAAGCCTGGTAGTGCTTTTTTCCTATTGACATTTTACTTAACATTCAATCCAAAGGCAAAGTGCCATTTTTCCCACAGACTTCTACCGCCCTCTGTAGGATTATTTTAAATAAAATATTAGGAACAAAGTCAAAGAAAAAAAATAAAAAGAAAGCATTTAAGTGTAACATTACTATATCACTTTATAAACATACTAGAGATGGTGATGCTTCCTACAGCTTCATAAGTTCAGGAATTTTACAGGCTGTGGATCCAAATCAGGAAGTAATAAACAGAATATTCCCATACAATGTTACCAGACTTTTGAGACTGCAAAATGAAAAAGGAACGCCTGAAGTTCAATGAAGACAGTAGATATATGAGGGTGTTCAGAGCTAGTCACAAATACCCACCATTTCTCAGAACTGCAGACTGCTTTCAAAGCATGTCTTGAAAGACTCTCCACTGGGTGTAGCTAAGCAAAACACTCAACTAAATTAGTGAGAAAATCTACTGTATCAACGTCTTTACTGAAGTTGCATGCTTCAATATTTAAGTTTCATTCGTTACACTACCTAGGACACAGTTCTGCTCCTTCTTGCCACAGACAAAAAAATTACGATTTCTTTATTCTAAACTGCACATGCAAATAAAATTTTGGCTATTTTTTATTTGACAATCATATTGCACAACTGGAAGGTCATGGTAATGTGGAGCCTCAAGGTAACTGATAACTAATAATTTCAATACAGGCACAGAAATGTAAAGCTCATTTCCCCCTTTACATTCCATAGAAATGGTTTTGATAATTTAGATGACTTCTGTAGTGACCTTGAGAGTGGCTGATGCTTTGCATTCTATAGTACGCTTCTGGTACCAAAGGATATTAAAGGACAAGAAAGTAAATCAAAGGTATACTTACATATGCATGGACTAAATAACTGACAATTCAGAAGCAAATTAAAAGGCTCTGATTATATGAAGGGATTATGATGACACACAAAAAAAATCACAAGCCTGAGTGGCTCATTATTTCTCTACAATCTAAAAATGCAATTAGACTTCAATTGCATTTTTCTTAAGAAAAAAAAAGCCTGTAACAGTAATTACACACATTAAAATACCCTGCCTAGAATGTTACTGCATTATAAATGTCTAATCGCTGTGACAATAAATAAAAAGAAGTACCACAGTGTGTAACCATTCCAGCACGTGAGGAATGAGGGCAACGGAATCCCTTTAAGTTTGAAGGGAATTCTGCATCTAAACTGTGGGGCTAACTCCAAAAAGCAAGTTAAACCTATCACGTCCTAACCTTAAAGAAGGTGCCCACAGGACTGAAGTAGGTGTCTACGTGATCCCTACTAGAAAAGGCATATCTCTTCTCCACATCTTGAAACTGGTTTCAGACAGCATGTGAAGATGAGAAGACTGAGAAAGCAAAATAAAATAGCGAAGACACAACCTAAGCTGTGGGGAAGTGAGATTTGTATCTCTTTATGTGTTTGCTAAGAGTACAGATGTATCTCACAACAAACACGCACGTACATTCAAGAATCTCTTATTTTTATACAACAGTGTAACTGTTTTCGATGTTATGTAAATCCTTTCCCCAAGATTTCTAGGAAACCAGTGGCCTCATCATTAAATGATTAATGGAATCTTTCAAAAAAATCTAGGTTATTTATTTTCCAGCAGCTAGTTATTCCTCCATGCTCCATTTACTGTCCTTTTCATTTCTGATGTATTCTGTTTCAATTAATGTACTTTCATTGCCACAAGACACAGACGATTGACTAACAAGACAATTCACATTCGGAGGGAAAGGCCACAGATTAATAAAAAGCTGAAAATTACAACCTACTTTGTAAGAAATTAGTCAAACAGAAGACACTGAAAGCTACCTTCTATCACAAAGTAACCACTCAGGCCAAAACAGTCTGCTGAAACAGGAAGATTTCTCTTTCTCCCACTTCCTTTGCCAGAAATAGGCAACATAGCTAATACTGGGTAAAGAGATGAAAACTTACCAACACTAGCACACAACATGGTCATGTAGGTCTCATTTCCTTAGGCAAAATACAGGATATGGGTCAGAAAACTTGAATTGTCTTCGTATTCTGACAATAAACTTTGTCTGGCAACGTTACAATTAACTTAAAATAAGCCAAAAATTTGTCAGACCAACTACTTTTGTTTCTCATGGATGCAGACCAACTTTGTGTCATGATTATGTTTTTAAGTAAAGTTCAAGTTCAACTTACATAAGCCCTCTTTTTTTTTTTTTTTTTTGAAGAGTAAAACCAGTACTTTACTTTCCTTATTTAGTAATCTTAGTAAACTGAGAAAAAGGCATGATAGTTCAGGTTGTCTCTTCAACGCAACCTACCAGCACACAACCCATGGGCAGGTAGGGATCATCTAGACAACCAAGGTATGCTTCAGGACAAGACATCCCACACTGCATCGCCCCAGTCCAGCAGTTATGGGAGATAAGCAAAAGAGGAGAGTTATTAACAAGGAGGAGACAGAAGGAGACGGGGGGAAATATTACACAGCAAAACAAGGTTTCAACAGTTCTAGCTCATGCCATAACTTGTCAGCTTGTTTTTTTAACTGAAAGACAGATCTAATTCAGATTTAGAGATGACTATTGCATGCTGATGTTACAGTTAAATCATTACCGTTCACATAGTGTACCTTCTAAAATAGTAATCATGGATTTACCAAGGTAGAATGTTGCTAATCTATTAGTATGTTATGTTAATACATTATATCATCATAACAATTATATTATTCAGCTGTGAATTTAATTTTCTTCTTATACAGGGTCTGATCAGGGTGATTCAGAATGTCCCTGGAGGATGCTTCAGACCCTCCACTGCCATCGTCACAATATGAGATTTGGGCTGTAATGGCTACACAGGGTAACACTCCAAAATCTAATGACATGCAGTCATAGGACAACAGTTTCTAGAGGAGGAAAAACACAATTTCCTGAAAAGAAACAAACACAAAAACCACAGGCAAATTGAAGCAGACCAATGCTTTTCCCTCAAGCAAAATCCTCATTACTGCTAACAGAAGTTATGCACAGACAAGATGGAGACTTGAGCCTAAAGGGTGCGACTGCCAAGTCACTGCAAGAAGATTGCACTGAAATCCAATGTTGATCTATCTTTGTAAGCGCAGTGACTGTGTTAGGGATACAGAATTAGCTCCCAGCCTACGCCAACAAGTTGACTGCATCAGACTAATTTGCTGAGTTCTCACCAGCCACATCCCCCAGAACTCCATGGTGAATGCTGCATTACAGAGCTCAGAGCTACAAACTCAAGCTAATGAATGCTGTCAGATAACTAGCTTAGTGAAGGGACACAAAGTCAGTAAATGTCATTCAAAAAAGCACCATTTCAGACAGAATACAGTACTTGGCATTTCTGATGCAATCCCAAAGACAGAGCTTCACTGCAAATTTATAAAACTAGAACATGTTCCTGCCTTCAAACCCTACACCTCACGATCCTTGAAATTAGATTTAAATCATATACTTTTGTACCTTAAAGGATCTTCCATAACAGTGGAGGAAAGGAAAGCAAATGGTACTATTCATCATATAAAATCACTGAAGAAATCTTTAGTGGTCATTTTCCTCTCCTGCCAAACTATTCATCAAAATGTCTTATTTTTTGATTAATTCACTCCCCCTCATCTGTGTTTGAAGCAAAACTAAAAAAACATGTTTCACCAGTGCCAGTTTTTCTTGAAGTTATTTTTTGCATGTACTTTCAGGACAGCAAGTCACAGCTTCAGTTATATTGAAGGAGGACTATAGCTTTTTCAAGAAAAGCCAGCTGGTTTTTTGGATTGTAAATGTCAGGTTTACAACATACTGCTTTGAAATAGTCTTAAAATTTCTGGAGCTTAATGGAAAATTCAATTTCCTCCAAACAAAGCCACTATTAAGAAAATCTGAGGATGCCCAAATCTCAGGTGCTTACCTTTGTCATTGCTACTTGTTGGTGTTGGAGGGGGAAGTCCAGGCTTAGATTTGTCGTAATTGTTAAAGCTCTGGCTGCGACGATTGTTGGCACTAATAGAACCACGAGCTTTGGCCTCACTGCCTGCAGCGGACACCCTCGTGGTGGGGCCTGGAAGTCTGATGAAAGAATTACAATATGATTAAATATATTAGAAAAGCACTCTGGGAAAGAAACTGTGGAATACCGTGCATAAATTGAAAAGGATCAATACCACAAGTATATACTCATAAGGGTCTTTGTTCTTCTATAAGAATAAATCAGAAAAATCATCCTTGATGAAAAATATATGCCAAACAAGCTACAATCTGAATTGTTTTACATGAGAAAAAAAACAAAACACCTGAACTGAAATTAATGGTCATAAATCTTCTGAATCAGAAATAGTTTCAAGTAAATGCAGTGGAGCAATACCACTGGTACAAGATTAAGACTAAGTGAGACACTACTGTACTTAAACCAGATTCCTGGTCACTATTATATGCTGCACACGTAAGGGCTATCCTTATTTTGGAAATAACAGTGAGACAGAACATGGCTGCCTTTTCCCTTGTAGAGAAGCACATCACATCTCTGCTCTGAAAACTACAAACCTTAGCAGCCAAGCCCAGCAAAACTTTAACTTGGTTTAATTATTTGAGCCTATAAAAATCAGTCAAATCTTAAATACTCCCTCTTAGGGCAACCACATTATCAGTGAGCTGGTATAAGCCTCTGGTTTTAAACTGGGTCAATCTCTTCCAGCATTTCCTTACCGTAGCCTGTATTTACAAGATTTAGCTGTTTACCTAGGAAAAAGATGTAGTTAGGTTTCTGGAGTAAGTAGTCAGGGAGGGATATTGCTTTCATGCTTTTCAAGTGAAAGGGGAGGTGGAAAACTTTTCTAAAAAAGCCTGACAGAATTAGAAAAGCCACTAGCATCGTGTCTTAGAACAAGATGTGTGCTTGAGTCCTTCAAAATCAAAGTTCATACATGAAGTTTCCATGTTTGTACTGTATTTTGTGAACTAATGAGCACTATTTCTACATTCCAAATAGATGAAATACTAACGATTTGGTAGCTGTTCAAAATGCATACTGAGAGTTAGTGAAACAGCCCACTGTTTTGAAAAGCAAGGACATCACCTTAAAGACTAAGACAGAACCACTTCATGTCACCTACAGTAGGCCTGAAAGGGACCACTCTTTGCCATCTTTGTATTTTCTGTACAGTAGAATCTCCTTTAAAACTTCTTTATATAAAACACAAAAATCTGTCTTAAACAACTTGTGCCAATAACAGGCTAAAATGAAGAAGTCCCAGCTGTCAGAGAAAATAGGGATGCAACTAACCAAATCACCGTTGTGCCTCTGGGAAGGGAGAGAAGCCAGGAAGTAGTCTGGCAGGGCTTCCTAAATAAACTGATTTATCCAAGACTAGTGAAAAAAGTAGGAAATATGAAAAGAAACATGAAGGGAAAGAGCAAAAATGTCAGCAGCTGCATGCACATGCTTTCAAAGCTCAGAAGAGGGTAAGACATAAGGGCATCACTCAAATACAAAACCAAAAATTAAAACTCAAACCACCACAGATCTGGCACAGCACATCATGGTTCTGAGGTTGACTTTGCTGAAGCCTTTTAGACAAACCCCTCATTTTATCCAGCCTTTTTCAACACTGGGAGTTGCTAGAAAGTCATTACGGCAAGGTGTAAATGAGAACATCCCAGAGATGCTTCATCCACTGTAGAGGAGACTACACGGGAAGAAGCAGAAACAAACCAGGGACAAACGCTGATCTTGACAACTTAGAAGTCACCAAGACAAAAAAGTTCATTAAGAGTCTGTCTTGCTTAATAGGAAACGAGATAGGTTTCCTACAGGCAGGAGGGGCACACAAGATACTTCCACTGAAAGTTTCTACCCAGTGATAAACATTATGAGTACGGGCCAACCACCACAGGAAGGCTACCAGAGCCCCCAGTACTGGGAGGGGAGTGTTCTAGCAGGGCTGGGAAGGAGGGAAGGGATAACGTTCTGGTACCGATGGGTAAGAAAAGGGTCCCCACACATGCCCACACAGGTTTTGCAAATCTGTCACATTTTAAAGTAAATAAAGCTACTCAAAGCATGTGACCACTCGAGAAATGACAAGTTGTCTATTCAAGTCAGTATTGTCACTGCCAATAAAAACATACTGAGAATAAAAAACATACATGCTAAAAACACTCTCGAAGAAGATATCATTTCGCTTAGACTTTTTTTCTCCCTGCAGTTTACTGACTGATTCTAAGCCCCTGCTTTTGGTATTAGGCCAAAATATTTCACAGCAGTGCCTGTGAAATCTAGAGGAAAAAAAAAAATTAGGTTCAGGGAGACATTTCTAGCTTCTTGCTATGAGAGACAAGGTACTGAGCTTGGAGAATACTCTCCATTACTGCACTTCAGCACCTCTTCTAGGCAAATATGAATCACCAAGCCACAATTATGATCAAGAGAGAACATGAAAAGGAAAGATGGGATGTTTTAACAGGGTTTATAGTGCAGACCTTCACTGTTGTCACGAAAGAAGTAAGATGGGGTAAATAAATGCAAATTATACAGCAGAACTAACAATCTATACAGACTTGCCAAGCTGAATAAAAATTGTAATTAATAGTTCACAAGCTTAGCAAAAATGGTATAGTATCGTTTACCAATATATAACTATATAAAAATTCCTTAGTGTAACATTTTAATATATAATAGCAGTAAAAGCAGCCATGATTAATAACTACATTAAGAACACAGCAACCCTTATGATCACTGAGATGAGATGGTCATACGAGCTGGCATGCAAGTCATGCTGGGAATCAGGAAAAATCAGACTGAAATATCTATCAATCATTTTTAGGGAGATTAGCTGTGCTCAGCCTCAGAGCACTGGGGAGTGCAGCTCTGATGAGACAGACCCACACAGTGCTGTTTGGGCTCGCATGGTTCACGTGACGCTCCATTTACTGCTAAGATAGCCTGATACTAGTCATTTCAATAATGCAGATCTAAATACAACTAATACAGATGCGTACGGTGGAGAGAGAACTCCCAGAACCATGTTTTGTTCTCAAAAGCAAAAGCTCATAAGGACAAGAAAATCAAATTATTTTCTTGCGGGCCAGAATGCATTCCACACCTTCAAAAAAAAAGAAAAAAATTAAAATCCATCTAATATTTCCAGGCTTCAGCTGTTTGTAAAATGCCTGGTTACAAACTATTTTCAACAGGAACCCTAAACATGCATCCAGAAATACTGCAAAAGGATTATTCATGCTCTGCAGAAGATGAAGAAATGCTAACCTAGAAGACTTTTTCTGACCAAGAGTGAATCGGATGATTTTGCTTTGAGATGAGTCCCTGGGAGATGCACTGTATGACAGGAAAGAAAAAGTGGAAGATAACAATGAACAAAGAATTTTTTTTTTTTTTTAAATTTAGCCACCAAACTTATTAACTAGTTTTAGGGAGGAAGAGTTTTGATTAATTTCACAGGAAGAAAAAAGCTTCTTGCCTAAGTATAACTTTATATGAAAACTCCTAAAATCTGAAATGAATTAATTTGTACAGAATGAACATGCAATTCTGCATGCAAACCCCAACTTTATCACTCTTCTCTCAGTCTTTTATTATATGTATTTTTCTGCACAATCTAAGCAATTTCACTTTAGTATGTAGTGAGAAAACATGACACTTAAGACCTTCACGTTATCTTTAAATTATGTGAAACCCAGCACAACCCACAGAATGGACTGAAAATATCAAAGCAACATTCAAACGGTCCCATGCACCTCTGCATGTTTTTGACAGAAAAGTCACAGAAATACGTTCAAATACATCTTCGTTTTACAGTAATTACATCCTGTGCAAGTTTATAGATGCCGTAGCAACACTACGTTTTTCAGTTATATGAAAATATCGTTTACACCCAAAATGAGCATGATTTATGAAGGAGACATAAGCAAAAACCAAATAAGCTCTCAGCAGTCTCACTTGGAAGGCCTCATTTAAACTGTTCATAGCGTTCACCTTAATACGTGTTATTTATCAGAAATAAGCTTTAACAATTTGAGATATTAAAAAAAAAGAGCCTTCATACTTTAGTAATTGTGCAAATACAGCTTCAGTCCTTACTCCTGCCCACTGAATCCCTCACTCTCTCAGCAGTGGAAGGATCACACAAGCAGAATGCTGTACGTGGATTCACGGTGGTACTGCCTTCATAAATTGCTTTTATTTTAACCTGGAAGGAGCACCCTAGGATTAAAGTCATTCAAGGGACAAAGACTCCCTCTGTTTATCTTTATTCAGATCTAGGAGCGCCAACAAACACCAACCGTGAAAATTATTTTTCATATAAGCCAGCAGCATATAATTTTTGACCAATAAGCCTAGATTCAATTTTGACTGTCACCAGCCTTGATGCGCTCTAATTCTTTTACCACTGTCAGAGCCTTCCACATCTTAGTGAGGACTGTAATTCTTGTAAACCGAGAACCCAAGTTGGTTTTCACACGCGCAAAGTATATAGTCTGTAATGGCAATGGTATACGTGGTTTGCAAGTAGAAAGAAGCAAAAGGAATACTGAGGAAAACTTTCTTATAAAATACTGTGGTTACTTTGTCTAGTAGGTATTTTACACCCGCAGGACTGCATATTTCCAGCACTGAGAACAT